AAATTCTAAAGTCTTAAGTAAACTGCTTGCTATTTCATAGATAGAAGATTCCAAAAATGAAACCAAAGAAGAGCAATCTGCTTCACCAACAGTTCACACTCAGATTAACACACAGATAATGTTCCAAAGCATACTCATTACAAATGCAGTCCATGGTGGTCCTTATACTCAGTACAGGAACCAAGTAGCCAAAATTTAACCCTAGAGCCTGCTGCTCCCTCCAAGGAAACAGGTTTTCCCTCTGATACAACTTTGATGGCCAGTGACCAAACACTCACATTGAGTTGTCCAGAATTACGTGAAGGTTTTGGCATGCGGTGTGTTTTGCTCACAGCTCTTTGACACATGACAAGTGGATGTCTCACATTTCAGTATGTATGCTAAGAAGAGGACTTAGTTTAAACCCTACAACAATTCAGACCTGATTAGGGATGGAGAGATGGCTCAGTTAGAACTAACTGCTCTCTCAGAGGACCTGAGTTAGATTTATAGCACCCACATATTGACGTGCAACCATGTGTAACTACAGTACTAGGGTGCCACACCAGCATGGCAATTTAGCCCGAAATCTGGCGAGGGAAGTTGGGATGAACACAGCACACACCAGTTAAGTTGCAAGCATCAGGACTCTCTTTATTCTTTCTTCCCCATCTTCTATACCCTTTCAGGAGGAAACAAACAAAACTGTTTATTAAGCACCCAGGGTCAAGGAACGGTCAGCATGCCCCAGGAAGCCACAGCTGCCAAACCACGAGATATACCAAACAGCAAAACATCTGCAGAACAGCCTGACCTCAGCGCACTCAGAACAGGGGAGGTGGGGGCATTCTTAGAGGGGTCAGAGACATTCTGATCCCAACACTAGGGGATCCAATTTCTTTTTCTGACCTTCCCAGAAACCGGGGGGCATATATGATGCACAGACATACATGCAGACAAAATACCAATACACATAAATTTAAAAAAAATAAGGAATTCAGAACTGAGTCCCACCACACTACTCCCCACTGAAAATATCCATTTAAAGCATACATTTGGGGCCTGGAGAGATGGCTCAGAGGGTAAAGTCACCTGCCAATCTGAGTTCAATTGCCACGATCCACATGATAGGAAAGAACTGAGTCTCCCAAGTTGGCCTCTGACCTATGCTCACCTACCTTGGCATATTCTAACATACATGCATAAATACAAACACATTTATATTTCTAAATATATATATGTTGAAAGAGATATGTTTGCTCTCTTTATATAGTCTTCATATTGTGTGACATTTCATTAACATAAACTCAGATACTGCCTAAAAGGGCTCAAGGTAAATAGGCAAAGAAGCACCTATTCTCAGGCTTTAGGATTTGGGTCAGAATCTAGAGCAAAATCAAAACATATATATGTAATATATAATATTACACCACAAATCTAAATACATTTGCAAATTCACAAGCAATCTAACTCCAACATAAGAACTCATAAAAAGGTATGTGGCCTGCATCCTGTTTGTCATGAGCTTTGTGTATAGTTGTTTTGCATATACATATGTCTGGGCACCACATGCTTGCTGTGCTCATAGAGATATCTTATCGCCTGGGGCTGAGGACTAGAGTTACACACAGTTGTGAGTAGCCAGGTAGGTGTTAGGAATTGAACCTAGATCCTGTGGAAGAGCTGTAGCTGAAGTTTTCCTGGTCCTGCCCAGCTCCCGTTGTCCAGTGGTCCTGCAGCCACTCAGACCCAAATAAGCACACAGAGGCTTACATTAATTAAAACTGCTCAGCCATTAGCTCAGGCTAACTACTGACTAGCTCTTACACTTAAAATCAGCCCATTTCTGTTAATCTATATGTTGCCACGTGTCCCATGGCTTTACCTGTGTGCCATTACATGTGGCTCCCTGGACAGTGGGCTGGTGTCTCCTGACTTAGCCTTCCATTTCCCAGAATCCTCCTTGTCTGCTTATCCCACCTATACTTCCTGCCTGGCTACTGGTCAATCAGCTTTTTATTTATCAGTCAATCAGAGCAACACATTCACAGCATCCAGAACATCCCATAGCACCTCCCCTTTTCTGTCTAATCAAAAAGGAAGGGTTTAACTTTAACAAGTAAAATTACATATAACAAAACAATAATCAATCAAAAATTACAGTTATAATATCTAGTTTATGTGTATTTGGCACAATTAAAGAAAATATTCTATCTATCCTATATTTGTGAGTCTAAAGTTTTATATCTAATTTATTTTTTATCATAATCAAGGAAAATTGTAAATATCTAGTCATCAAATGCATCAAAGACCCCAGAAGGAAATACTATTATCTAAGTAAGCAGGAAGAGCATTGTAAGCAACTTCCAAAAATCTAGAGACAGCTGTCTGCCTGGACAGTCATCCAAAGTTCCTCAGCAAAGTTGGGGCATCCATCTTTGGCACACAGGCCTAGAGTCTCTCAGTCACTTTGCTCTGTGTCCTATAGAATGTCTGTCAGTTTCTTCTGCAAAGAAGGAACCTGAAGGACCATCTCGTCGTGCAAAGTTCAGTCGTCACCTTCCTATGGGTCCTGCATGTTCAGCCAATACATTATTTTGTCAAGCAGTCCAGGCAAGAACAGTTTCTTGTCCAAATGGCTATTTTTGCCAAGAAGATAAATTCCATATGGAGTGTCTCTGGTGCCCATCTTTCTCTTCGAAGTAAATCAGTGCTGCCAGAAACTGTCTCACTGTCCAGAAAGTCTAAGTTTTTAAAACATTTTAAATGCTATATTCTGTAGGTCTTTGAAGTGTTTGAAGATAATCTACCTAACTGAATTATATCTATGTATACCTAGAAAATTTAACATGACTATAAGTTTGAATATCATAGAAGACTAATTATTAATCTGTATTTCTTAACTATCCATTACAAATTAAATGAGTTACATAAACATAATACCTTAAACAGGAGTAGAAATATACATACAGTATAACAAAATTACCTTTAAATTTGTATCGGTAAACTAAAATCCATAGCAATTTAAGACAAGTTGCTCTTTAAAAGTAGATTCAATAATCTACCCTTTCATCCTATCAGATCTATACCCTGCATTTCTATGTCAAAGAACAGCCACTAACCACTTAGGCCATCTGTTTAGCCCTTTGATGGGCTTTCTCATTATTATAAATACCATCCTGAATAGATCAATTCCCTGAATAAACAAACACAGCTGAAACATTAAATTTTACTCAAGTTTTGTAATCATAGTAAACAGTGAGGATTGTAAACACAATGTTAGATGCTACTTTATGTTCTGGTCACTAGCCTAGTAGTGCACAGAAGCACCTTCGCACACACTAATATACAAAACCATCTGCAGCACCATTTTTTTATTTTTATTTTTTTTTTGGTTTTTCGAGACAGGGTTTCTCTGTGTAGCTTTGCGCCTTTCCTGGGACTCACTTGGTAGCCCAGGCTGGCCTCGAACTCACAGAGATCCGCCTGGCTCTGCCTCCCGAGTGCTGGGACAAGTGCATGTGCAGGCACACGGGTGCCGCAATACTTGTGTAAAAGTCAGAGGACAACTTGGTTGCAGTCCTCTCTGACCATGTGACTCTCGAGGGTTAAACTCTGTTCATCAGGCCCAGCAGCACAGCAAGCACTTTTACAGAAAAACCATCTCTTGGGTCCCAAACACATTCTTTTAATTGGCATCTGAGTGGAAGACTGTGCGATGAGACTCCTGTTATTAGTTTGTGGGATTTCACTAAGCCTTCCTCAATTTATTTAGAAAGCATTTTGCTTCTGAAACAGCAAGGGTCATAATGAGGCAGAACAGGACAGGGACAAAGTCAGAGCACTGGGCAAGGACTGCAAATTTAACATATGAAAACACAAGTTACCCAAGAAAGCCTGGAAACGTCCAAGAATGCAAGGCATTTTAATATTAAAACACACCTGGGGTGGAGAATTAAGATGCTAAGAGACAAGGGAAGCTTGAAGTTGTAAGTAGGATTAGTTTTAACAGGTAATGTACACTCAGAAAAGTCCTGCCCATACAAACAGCTAAGAGGCAAGTAAGATGGCTCGTTTGGTAAAGGAGCTTACTGCTAAGCCAGACAACCTGAGTTCAATCCCTGAGTCCCACATGGTGAAAAGAGAGTAACAACTCTTGAAAATTGTCCTCTGACAACATGCTTGCACATACTAAATTAAATGTAATTAAAAAAAAAATGACTAAAAGTTTCTGTTGCTACTGTCGCAAGCAGAGGCAGGCTGGAAAGTCATCTGCGGCATATAATACTACTCAAATGCATACCCCTGGATGGAGATATGAGCTGCTAAGTTGTGTGAAGGAGTATACCTTACAGGATGCTCAGTAAAGCACTTTATGCAGATGAATGCGAACTCCCCCTTCCAGTGACTGCTCTACCTGGTTTGCTCCATTGGAAGTGCATCTGCTAACAAAGGTGCGCCTGTTTCTCCTGCCAACGGTATTTGGGGACCTAAGGACCTGAATTCCAGGAGTGGGCAGGGGCATCAACCCAGATAAAACTCAGCAACAATTACCTGAGAGGACCATACCTCTCCCCTTCCACTTGAACCGCCAAAGCATGAACAATCCCAAAGAGAAGGAAACACCTTGACTCTGCATTTACAGATTAACTGGTAGCCCTAAAAAGCACTGAGCACTGAGATCTTGCTCCAAAAAAAATTTAGAAAAATCAAGGCAATTACACCTACCCTGAGGAGATAGGAAGCGGGCAAGCCAAGAACCACACATTGTCTCGTGCATGAACCCCACGCTTGGGATTGGAATCCGCATACGATTTCTGGGGCTTGGGGCATACAAGTCTTCCACTACAGACCGAAGTACGCAGGTGCCCCTCTTAGCAGAAGTGCCTCAGAACAGGCCTGGAACTACAGTATTACCTTCTCTTCCCACCAAATACTGATTTGACAATTCAGCCTACACACCTGAAATTCTGGACCGGACCTCCATGATCCAAAAGACAGGAGGATGGATGATGCCTTACCTCATTTGATTGTGGAGTTACTGGGTCAACTTTTCCTGGAGAGAGATGAAAAAAATGTTTCTCCACCCCCATTACCGAACCAACGACAGACCAAAGAACTTGGCTCACTCAAGTCTAACTTGGTAAGACAATGAGTTTAATTAGTGACTCACAGAAACTTGGGAAATTTATGGGCCGCTGCACCACTGAAGGAAAAAACCTCCTAACAGTCGGTATGTTGGAGAGAAGCTTGGCCTGGTGAGCAGAACCTCCCTAAGCAACCGTTAACTGCCCTGGGCAAGGGCGGGGCCTCGGGAGCACCTTCCTGCTGTCCAGGAACCTTTTAGCTTCCACCAGCCCTGAAGTTCAGACAGCATGTTGGGCCTATGGAAAAGCTTCCTGCATCTTGCTATGCCCGATGCGTTTTAAACATGCGCTGATTTATGACTTTCTTTGCTCTGCAAAACGAGAAAAATCTATGAAACTGCTTCCAGGTTCAATCATGGAATTTAGGGTAGTCTAAATCTGTGTTCCTGGACCACAGTCACTCAAAATGGCTCCAGGAAAAACAAAACAAAACAAAACAAAAAAACCTCTCTCTTATTCCCTTTAAGATGAAAGCTGTGGTTTTTGGCACTTGATAGAGGGCTGGTTTAGCATGTACAGCCTGGATTTGGTCCCCAGCACCACAGAAAATAGGAATAGTGGGATCAGCAGGACCAGACCTTAAAAGACCTTAAAGGTCAATCTGGGCTATGTAGTATAAACAATATTATATATGAGTCTTATCTATCTAAAATTTGTGTTTAGGACAAGGAATTCAAATCTTTTTATCTTCCCCACCTTGGAAGACTTTTATGCAAATGTTTTGATCCCCCACCAAGAAAACCTTTATTTACACAAAAGCCCCCTGCTGTATTAGAGGAAATTGATGGCTGCAGCAGTGACCCTTTTTTTCCTTGAAGCAATGACCCCCCTTTTCCTCTTCTTCTTTTCCTCTGTTCCTTGTATTCTATCCAGGCTAGCCAATTGAATTAAGACTGTGAGGTCTAACACACACACACCCAAAAAAGACATAGCCACCACTTGAGTTAGAGTAAACACAGTGCACCCCCTGAGGTGCATTCACTCAGCTGAGCATACCCTCTTGATCAAGAGTGAAACTTACCTTGTCCAGACACTTCAGTTGGGATGGTGCTCTCTTTCTTTTCAACCCTCAAGTTATTTCTAACAACAGAGAATGTCCGATTTCCCAAAGCTGTGGGCAATACCTCAACAAAGATTGATAGCTGAAACCCCCGACAGACTGTCAGTCCTCAGTGCTGAGTTTACATGGCTATCGGCCTAAAATACGATGTCTATTTTTATTCTTTGCTGGAGATGGTCCCTGCACATCCCCTTGCACAGTTGCATAAGGCCTGAGGACATGCTGAAGGAAGATCCCAGACTCAAGTAGTATGTAAGAGCAAAGAGCATTTATTGTTCCAGCATGCATGTGCGGTCATTCACTTGTATGCCCCAAGCCCCTGTTCAAAATGGTGATGCGCCTGAGAGGAGCGTGTAGGCTCTTTTTAAACATAGCTAAAGGGAATTTTAGGGACAGTGAGATCATCTCAAACATAATCAGTTAAGCAAGCATTGGTTATTAATATACTTTTAATTGGCTGAGGTTTTATTTTTGGGCACATTTGTACAAGCTTGGGCAAGTCCCAATGTGATCCAGAAGGGGGGGCTGTAGGACTTGTCCTTGAGACATTGTGGGCCTGACTTCAGGCTTTGTTCGTGTTCTCTTCTCTCCCTTGGCCCCGAATGTAATTTGTTGATAAATGGCCTTTTGTTGGGAGAGACAGCTGTCTGCCCCACAGAGAACTGAAACTTAAATTCAGTTGAACAAGTGAGAGTTTAACCCCTTCAGTTGTTCCTCTTCTGCTGAAGGGGCAGAAAGGAGAGGAGCCTCTTTCCATCCAGTTGGTTTTGTGGGTCTGGGGTTCATGTGGCTGGAACCTGTGAAAAGGCAAGGAGGGAACACAAAGTATCTCACAAGCCTGTGAGTGGTAGGTGGGAGCATCAGGAGGAACTAGGAGGAAGCATCTCTCCTACAACATGTCACAGTCCCCAAGCAGTCAGAGCAGAGAACAGACAAAGCTGTCTTCTTATGCATGTTGGCCCGCCAAACAAGTCCAGCAGAAACCAAGTTACACAAAGCAGCTAACTGGGACCAGGACCTGGGACTTAAGTTCCCAATGACAGCATGACACATACGTTCCATAGTTCCCATTTTGGTTATGGACCTTGGCATTCATGATTCATGTCAGAGGAAAGTCTGGCCAATTTGTTTCCCATTTCTTCCCCCTCAGTTTGAGTGCAGCCTGTATGGCCCCACCAGGAAGATGATGAAGGGAGAGAGAGGCAGTCCAGAGAGATGTTGAGAAAGTAGGTTGCTTATTCTTTTGACCATTGGCAACAAGAGTACATGGATCAAGAACACAAGCAAGAGTTTGTATGTCCACTCCAACACACCCTCTTTCTTTCTCTCTCTCTCTTTCTCTCTCTCTCTCTCTTTCTTTCTTTTAAATTTTTTTTTAAATTTAAGTATAATTATTTAAATAATTAACTTATTTTCACATACCAGCCACAGATTCCCCTGCCCTCCTTCCTCCCACCCCCCAGCCCTCCCCCCCCAATCCATTCCCACCTCCTCCAAGGCAAGGTCTCCCCGTGAAGGAGGGAGCCTGGGAGAGCAGGTAAATAGAGCTTCTTCTTCCAGAAGACAAAGCAGAGGATCAAAGAAATGATAGAGCTGGGGCAAGAAAGAGGAATAAGGGCTGAGATGGGAGTCCTCAGAACGAGTTCTGGTCAAAAGGTAGCTGCTGGCTAGGGTTTGAGTTTACTGTATTTTTGGAGTTCTGAGTTTAGAGTGTGGAGTTTTTACTGTGGTGGTTAGGAGAGCAAACACAGAGATAACTTAGCAACTATATTTGGCTTGAGCTAGACATACATGTCTTGGGATTAGAGAGATGGCTCAGCAAGTTGACTAACAGCTGTAACTCCAGTTTCAGGAGATCTGACTCCCTCTTCTGGCCTCCACGGGAACCAGGCACATACCTGGCATACATACATATATGCAGGCAGGCAAACACCAATACACACAAAATAAAATTTTAAAACCTTAAATGTATACTCCTTGCTGAAAAATGCACTTGTCAGCCTGGGACTTCCACTTACATTGTGTAGACCTAAACCTCCCTAGCAATCCTTAGTATGTACTTTTTTGTGGTCAAATACTTCCTGAAGCATGTCTTAATCCTAGGGGCTGTTGGCCAGGCCAATTCAGCCTGTGGGCCCCGGCCCCCCACTGTGAGTGGCTGCCACCTTGCTTGCTGACCTTGACTAGATGTCCTCCCTATTCAGATTCCCTGCCGGTTTCCTTCTCACCTAACTATCACCGGAGAGATCACCAGAGGTTCTTTGTGTATCCTGCATTTGGTGTAAACAGCTTAGATGCAAGAATGTAGAACATTGGGTAGTGAACTTCTGCCTGTATTTAAGGTTTTCTCCCTTTTTCAATAAATGGCATTCGGCATTCAGCCCCTCGCTCGGACATGGTGAACAGGTATAGGTAACTTGGGCGTTACCGCTATATCAGCCTTGACTGGTTTTGGGTGGATGCGGTGTTATTCATTAAGCAGCGCTGTTTGTTTACTGTGCAAGAAAAGCCATGAGGTACAACAAAATCCACTATAAGAGTTTATTAAGGGGAGGGTAACAGAAGGGATGTGCTTAGGCCTATGGAAAGATAGTGCAGGAAGAGGCGGGGAGGGATATGTGTGACCCACTTTTATAGATTCCCCGACACATGCGAATATGGCTTATGCCACGCATGCACATAGATTATATATGTTCACGCTATACTCAAATTATGTGATCACACAGCACACATATTACATAGCATGTAAGGCCCTGGGATGAATAAGCATCTCGCCAGTGTATGCACGGTCATCGGGGAATGGCTAGGAAGTCTGACATGCACAGCAAGGCAATCTGTGTCCACTGAGTGAACTGTTAGTAAAACCCCCCACTGCCCATTTTATGCTTATGCAATATTTGACCTATATATGATTAAAATTAGATGCTGAAGTAGAGCAAAAGTAGAAAAGTAAAATCAAATGCATCATGGTAAAGGACATGTACAGCAAACAAATACTTACATAAAAAACTGATTTGGTGCCATGACTTTAATCCCAGCACTTGAGTAGCAGAGGCTGGTGAATCTCAGTAAGCTCTGGGGCAGCCAGGATAGCCAGTCTCACAAAACAACAAATAAAAACAACAAAACAAAGCAAAATAAAACTCAATAAGCAAACAAACAACAAAGCCCATAAAAACTGACCCCACTTCCCATTGGGTTTAATACATTAAGAGGACAGAATTCAAAAATTATGTTCAATTGTCCAATTCATGCATCTTTTTCTTTCTTTTTTTTTTTTTTTTTTTGGTTTTTTGAGACAAGGTTTCTCTGTGTAGCTTTGTGCCTGTCCTGGAACTCACTCTGTAGCCCAGGCTGGCCTCTAACTCACAGAGATTCACCTGGTTCTTCCTCGAGAGTGTTGGGATTAAAGGCGTGTGCCACCACAGCCCGGCTCATGCATCATTTTCAAAGACCTGGTACAACCAGAAATACCTTGGACAACAAAGACAACTTTACCTTTAAGATTTATTTTGTTTATGCATGTGTTTATGTGTGCATGTGACATGGGTGTTTGGATGACTTCAGAGATGGGAGGGTCAGATCCCTGTAGCATGAATTCTAATTGGGCTTATAAATAAAAATCCAGAGTCAGATATCAGGGTGAAAGCTGAAAGAGCAGAGTAGAGCAGCCAGCCACTAGAAAGACTTCTTACCTCTAGGAATCCTCAGACTGAAAGGGTTGAGCTGCTGTCTCCGCCCTGCCTTATCACTTCCTCTCTCCACCCAGCCATATCACTTCCTGTTTTCTTCTCCCAAGTGCTAGGATTAAAGGCATGTGTGTGGTGGTAATCTAATTGTACTGAAATGTGATTTCCAATGTATGTTAATAAATAAAGTTGCCCGGGGGTCAGAGCTATTAGAGCCATAGCAAGAGTGTGGCGGTGGTGGCACACGCCTTTAATCCCATAGATCTCTGTGTGTTCAGGGATACAGCCAGCATTGGAGACATATGCCTTTAAGACCTAGGGGGCTGTACATTCAGACAGTGACGAGGCAGTCACGTGTTTGAGTTTACAACCAATGAGAAGGCAGAACAAAATACTATAAATAGATGAACAGACAGGAAATAGGTCTCTTTCGGGAAGCTGGGACACCGCAGGCGGAAGGGTGAGATTTTAGCTCTGAGCTCTGACCTCTCG